CATTCGCATGCTTAATCAAAGTAAAAGTTGTATAACCGTATCATCAGTAGTATGCGCATCCTCCTGATAATCTTCTTAATAGACTTGTTATCCGAATGATTGATAGAATGATACTGGTATTAATCTTAGTCATGTTACTACGTGTCTTCTTTTATTACTCGTAGCAGTAGTATTCGTTGTATGACTATTCGTATGCGTATGAGTCGTCTCCCTCTTCCTCTTCCTCGTCCTCCTCATCCTCCTCCTCGTCCTCCTCCTTCTTCTCATGCTCCTTGTCCTCCTCCGTCTCCTTCTCCTCCTTCTACGTATGAATAGTGTTGTTCTCAGTCTCCTTATTTTTATAATACGCATTATTTGTCGTACTACTTTTCTGGCTATTCTCGCCATGAGCCATCCTCTTGGTTTTTTACATGTCCTAGTACTAGAAGTACTTGCATTATCATTATTATCCGTCGTCTTCGTAATTTTCTTGTTGGCTTTCGAATTATTATCCTCCTCTTCCTCCTCCTCCTGCTTCTCCTCCTCCTCCTCTTCCTCCTCCTCCCCCGGGGGCGGGCCCGCGGCCGTCGCGCGGCGCGGCGCGTGGCGCGCAGACAAACATGCGCGGTAAAGATGCACGGGCCCTGAAGGGCCATGCTGACGTTTTTCGAGCGAGGCTGGCCAGCGAAAGTCGCTGAGGATGGGCCGAAGGGGCAAGGATGCCAGGGTACCCTTGGGAAGGTTGCCGATCCTTACTATGCGGGCTGGCTGCAAGGGAACAAGCAGTGATATAGATAGAACAACTCGGAGGTCCGCGCAGACTCCTCGGATCGGCGCTGGGGCCTCCCGGCGGCGCCTCAAACGCCGCCCTGGGCGCGACGCGCGAGCCAGGGAGGGGGGTCCAGCACCGATCCGACAAAGCCGCGCGGACCTCCGAGCTCCTGTGGATACATCTTTACACACATGCATACATACATACATACCTACCTACCTACATACATACATACACATGCATGCATGCATGCATGCATACATACATCCGTCCATGCAGGCATACATGCATACATACATCCATGCATGCATGCGTGCGTGCATACAGACATACATTTATACAGACAGACAGACAGACACACATTCATTCGTTCATGCATAAATGCAAACATATACACATACATACATACAAACAAACAAACCAACAAACATACAAGCAGACATACATATATACATGGATGCATGTATGCATGCATACATACATACAGGCATAGATCGGCATATATCTCTATATATATTCTTATATATATACATATATATATATGTGTGTGTGTTCCAGGTTCGGGGAAACTGCCAGGCCAGGATGTTTTCTTCATCAGTACGCTGATTCGATATGTGTGCTGCGAGCGCCGAGAGCTTACCTGCGCGAGTGCTGGACGCAGCACCCGAAGAGAAACGGGCTGGACAGGATAGACGTGACAGCCTGAAAACCCAGGGTAGGCTTCTCGCCCTTAAAAGGCGGCTGAGAGGGAGGTTTGGGGAGGCAGAGTGCAAGGCATTAAAACGGAGTCTGTGGGTGCTTGAAGCCAGAATGGTTACGAGACGAGAAGCGGCCCTCACGTGTCACCCTCCAGAGAACAATAGCATGTGAACAAGCGTCAATGTTCCAGGTTCGGGGAGACTGCCAGGCCAGGATGTTTTCCTCATCAGCGCGCTGATTCGATCTGTGTGCTGCGAGCGCCGAGAGCTTACCTGCGCGAGTGCCGGGCGCAGCACCCGAAGAGAAACGGGCTGGACAGGATAGACATGACAGCCTGAAAACCCAAAGCGCCTTTTTCTTCCAAAGATAAACCCTGGTATTGCCGCAGCCCCTTCGTTATCCCCATTGCTTAGACAGAGTAGACCAGATAGCAGAGGAGAAAGCGTTGACGAACTGTCGACACAGCCGTGGCGGGCATGGCTCAGCCTGAAGCGTAAGACGTCGGCCTGCTTGATCATGCCCTTGCAGCACGATATGAGGCCGACCACTAAATTCACATGGTTTACGCCCAGCACAGAGACGCTGAAGATGGGCAAGGTGTACATTGGCTGAGACAAAACGGGTGCGCTTCCGCCGCGGCATTCCATAGACGCAGTAGTCAATCACAATGGTTTCGACGCCAGGAAGCCTCAGAAGCTGCTGCCAACACGGGAGGCTCCAGAGCCGGCTGGCGCGCGGGTTTTCAATGGTCACCGGGATGCCGTGGGACCGAGCGAGCCTAAAGAGGCCAGCTGAAAACGTAGCAAGATGGTTACCTTCCTGAACACGTGCCAGAACCCGAGGAGAAAGCCCAGGAACACCTCCAGGATGAAGAGCGGTACGCCACCCCTCCCGATTTGCAGCCGAAAATGTAGTACATGGGGTACCCAGCCAGAGGCCCACCACGAGGCCCGCTCGAACCCACCCGCGGACGAGTCGACATAGACGGGAACTGTTGAGATCATGGCAGGGTCCTGCGCGGATGTCAATTGAGAAGACTGGGAACCCCGACAAGGCTCGACAAGATCGCCAGGCCGCAGTCCAGCGAGCCTGCCCTGCGAACAGCTCTAAGGCAAACCGCCCCCCGCGGGGAGCTGCCGCGCGAGGGGCGGCTGCAGGATCACTGAGCCAGTGCGCTCCGCGCAGAGGTTGCCCGCAGGATGCGTGGCCTGGTCGAGTCGGTGCATTTGCCCGCCGAGGCGCCCCGCTGCTGGGCCCGGGTTGCCGCACAGGGACGACTCGTCGTACGTGCGGGTCCTGCCTGGGATCTCCCCCTCCAGGAAGTTCACGAGGATCCCCCAGTGCCAAAACCTCAGAAGGCCTCGTGGGACCGGAAAGATCAGGCCCCCCCAGCGGGCCTTCAGGGGCTCCGACGGTCGGCAGTAGCACACGAAGTGAAGGGGTGTCATCAGGCCGGCGTCCACGTCCCTGTGGGCGATCATCTTGGCGATCATGAGCGTTGCCACGAAGAAGAGGTCGTTGACGTACTGCACGAACCCGAAGCCGAGCTCCCGCACCGTGTCCAAGGGGATCCCCATGGGCAGGCACCAGCTCCGGAACTCGATCAGCGTCATGATGTAGCTCGTCCGCTGCTGGGGCTTGCTGACGCGGTGCTCGAGGAATGACGCCCCGGCAGCTGGCCCCACGGGCGTGGGAGCCGGGTGAGCCCAGCGCCGCGCGGGGCAGCGGTCGGCCCGGTGAGCCCCCGCCAGCGCAGGCCGCCTCGGGTGGCTCCGAGGCGGCGGGCTGGGCCGCGGCGGCGCCGCCGGTCGCGCGCGGGGAGCAGCCCTCGCTGGCCGCGGGGGCGCCGCAGGGCGAGGCAGCGTCAGCGGCGCCGAAGCCGGCGCCGAGAACGCGACCGGCGGCACGAACCCGCCGCTCGCGGGCATCAGGACCTCCCCAGGCAACCTGAGCATCGCCGGCGAGCCCAACGCGGGACCCGCCAGCGACACCAGGCCACTCAAAGCCTGGGGGAGGTGGGATAGTCGAAGTAGAAGGCGTGAATACCCTCGAAGAGGTAGTTCGAGCCGACGCAGCGGGCATGGCGAAGCGCTTTCCACGAGACCCAGGATCTCCCGCATTGTGTTCCGATGGTACCCACCTCCAAGTATGGTATGAGAAAGACGCCAGGGCCAGAGAACCATGCTGTCGGCATACGCGCAGCATAAGCCTGGTGGACGACCGGCCCTTGGTGACAGCGAAGATGGGGGCCATGGAGTCCCCGAGGTGCAGGTGCCTTCGGCCGAAGCTCCGGAGTGCCTGGACCTTCCGCTTCACATCCCAGACCATCGCTCTTCCCTCAAGACACACCTGGGGTTCGGAGCGCCGCCAGGCCCTGGACTCCGCGAGGACCCAAAGGGCACCCCACAGAGCCTCAGGGACCGGGGGCACGGAACCCAAGGGGACCTCAGGAGGGGAGTCCCGATGGTGACCTCCGAGGCGCTGCGCGAGGAGAACCGAATCACGCGGGTTGAAAGACTCCCCCCCGGACTGTGTAAACCTCCAACGCTCGTTGAACGACCCCAAGGACGCGATGTCAAGGTCCGACACCCAATGTGAGCAGCCTCCAAGGCCCCAAGAGGATGCATCCACCACAGTGACTTCTGGGTCCCACTCGGCCCCAAGATCACGGTAAGCTAACACAATCAAATGGCTCGCCCAATTCAGCTCGCGAAGGACAGATGGCCAGATCTCTATTGCACGGTCACCAGCCTGCTCGGCGAACGCGTAAGCGGCGTTGAATACACAGAGAAGCTCACGGCGCATGAGGCACCTGGTGGCGTAGTGTGAGAAAAATATTTCCATGGCGCGCCCAGATGTGAAACGGCGACGACAGAGCTCGATGAAAGCGAGTCGGATTTTCCAGCACATGACGGGATTCACTCCCACTTCAGCGGTGTCTGCCGAGAACTGCCAACCCAAGGTCGCGCCGCCTACCGACGACTCGCAGGGATGAACAGGCAGCGGCGCCGAGGAAAGTTGCTGCGAGACCTTGTCTGCAGCGGTTTGCGCAGCAGAAAGAGATTGACTGAGAGAAACGAAGTTGTCCACATATTCTGTATGGATAAGAGGACGAAGTGGGGGGGCCGGTCTCCCATCGTAGAGAGCATTGTGTAAACCGATGCCAGGAACGCGTCTAGAATGTAGCTCGAGTATCTCCTGCATCATCCAAAGTGACAGCTTCCACCCCATAGGAATGGCAACAAACGTAGGTGTAACATATGTCGAGGGGCCCACCGGTTGACCACTGATGCTAGTAACCCCGGCGATGCCAGCCCGCATCCGAGGAAGACCGAAGCATCCCCGGAGCGACGACGCAAGAGCCAGATTGTAGAGCGCGTTAGCCACATCGACCCCACCAACGCAGATAGGGCCCTTACTGTCGGCCTGGATGCTCGCAAACGAGGCGCCACTGGCAAGGTGCACGGGGTATGAATCAGAGAACCAACAACTCGCCCGTCTCCCATCAATAATGACTCTGAGCTTTCCTGACTCCTTAAAAACGGCGAAAACCCCCACAGACTCCCTGCACCCTAGCCTCCATTCAATCAGACCGGCTTCGCTCAAGCGGTTTAAAACAGACGCATACAGGCGGGGAGAACGCCGAAGTGCTGGATCTGTATACGCTCTAGCGGGAGCCTCCTGTTGAAGCCTCTCGGCAGCCAGGGACTCAGGAAGAAGTTTCGAGCAAACTTTATCAGCCAAAATTTCACCCTCCGGACCACCCAACAGCTCCAAGGGACGATGGGGAACTGCCCGGGGCAGGGAGGTCCAGGAGGCAGACAGATGCTGGGCTGATCGGCGCAACGGTGGCGAGCTCACCATCGTAGGAGCGCCGGGCGCAGAGCTCTCGCAAGGCCCCCGCGCCGTCGAGCCCCTCGGGGGGGGGGCCGATCCTGTTTACCGCAAGACGGATTCGCCTGATAGCCTCGTCCTGGGCAGCAGAAGGTGGCAGAACCCCCCCCCGAGACGGGGGCCCCTGAAAGAGTTCATTCAAACACTGGGCGATGTCCCGGACGAGCCGGTCACTATGACCCGCTCGCTCGAGACGACGACGAGTGGCCCTGGAAAAAGCTGATGAGGTGCCCCTCGAAGGAGGAGAAAGAGGAGGGAGAGGCAAAGGCAAGAGATCGCGCGCACGATCCTCAGGCGTGGAGGGCCCCCCCTTCGCGTACCGACCCAGGCCGGGGGGGGGTCCTGGGTCGATGAAATCTGGCGTCGTTGCTTCTAGAGGAGCGCAGCCCGCTCCTCATAGGCCTTCTTCACATGACTCAAGATCGCTATGTCCCTCTGAGCCTCGGCGGCGACGTGATCCAGGAGAGATGGGCACGCCAGAGATGCGCCCGTGTCCGTGCTGAGGCCTGAGAAGATCCCCGACGCAATCACGAGGCCGCTGAATGAGATCACGGGCTTACCAGCATTCTTGTCCGTGACCGACACCGCAAGAGAGTCCATCCAGTAGACGCATTCCTTGAGCTGCGCCTGTCTCATGATGATCTCGGCGCCAGCCAAGTTGGGCGGATCGGTCCCGTCGAAGCCCAGACGCTCCTCGAGGGCCCTGAGCGCCGTCTCCTGAGCCTCATCGCCCCACTGGTCGGTCTTCGAGCTGAACGTCGAGGTGAACCAGCGGAGGTGCGACACAGACGTGCTGGGCCGGCGCCCCACCCATTGGGCGCACCAGGGGACGGTCCCGGGGTAAGGCACCGTCCCATCGCTCACACACCACTCGGACATGTCGCGGACCGCCTCAGCATAACCACGACGGTGACGAGGGCCAAAGTGATGAGCCTGCTGCAGGCCCCGGGGATCGTGCACAGCTCCAGGGACTCTGAGGACCTTCTCGTCAAGGTCACGGAGGTCGCGCATGGCGACGGCACCACAACCAGGAGGGGTGAAGACTACCACGTCCCTGGCGGTCTGAGCATTCACGGGGAGCTGAACCACGACGCCAAGGAGGTCGAGGGATGTGCTCTCGATCGTGACCCACTTATCTGACGCGGCCTCGGCAGCAGCGTCGAAGGGGGTCGTTGCGGCCGCAGGGCCAGCGGCCGTCACAGCGCCCGCCACGACAGGCCTTCCCCCCGGGCGAGCAGCGCCAGCCATCGGCCCAGCGGCCAGTAGCTCGCCGGCGGCAGCACCTGCACCTGGGCCAGCGGGCGGCATGAACTCCGCCAACGGCTCGAGGCGCCCCAGGGGGTGCGACACGAAGGCCACGCCGGCTGCCGCAGCTCCGGCGGCGTGGATGTCCCGGCACACCTGCTCGGCCGCGGCACTGAAAGCCACCCTCTCGACCGCCGTCGGCTCTCGCCTAAAGCGGTGAGTCTGAGCACGACTCACGCCAGGCGGGATCGCCCGCGTAGCCGCACACCAAACGCCCTGGATGCCCACGCTGGAGCCGTCGTACAGCCCGTCGTATACGCCACGGTGAATTGTCGTGATCGGCAGGTGAGAGGATTCAGTCGGTCGAGTCGCCGATGGCTTCGAGCGACCCAGCATTCTCCGCTGGTGCCAGAGCAGCACGCCGGCGTACAATACCCATGCCCATGGGCGCAGTTGATGAGCCGCCATGGTGACGCTCGGCCCACGTCCCCACGCCGCTGCCGCGCGACCGCGCACGGATCAGGGCGGGCAGGCAGGCTCCGACGGCCCCACCGAGCAGGCAGCCACCGACGAGAGCCACACACACGAGTGCCGACCAGAGCGACCCCAGTCCAGCCACCGGCGGGCTCTCGGCCGCCCCAGGCGGCTCCGCCGGGCAGACCGGCGACGGCGCGCCTGGGCACGCCGGGATGGGCGGGCACGCAGGGCACGCCCCACACGAACAGGCTGGGCAGGCCGGCGCGGCGGGGCACCGATTCAGCCACGCGATCGAGACCTGGGATGCGTAGCCCAAGTACGGGGCCAGCGCGCTGAGCATGGGAGAACGAGGGGCCAGAATGCTTGCTTGAAGCCAGAATGGTTACGAGACGAGAAGCGGCCCTCACGTGTCACCCTCCAGAGAACAATAGCAT